AACAGTCCTGCCGGCCGTGTTCTTGTCACAGTCCGTTAGAATACTAATTAAGTAGAGAAATCACCAGCTTCTGAGAAGCATATTATAAATCGTCGTCATAAACTGGTTTGGAAAGTTTTTTATGCTTTTTCTGATGTTTCTCCTCCTCCTGCCATATCTTTAAATGGATTCAGCTTCTTCATTTTTAGGGCCTAAGGTCCTGAAATTTGGTATGGAGGTACAGTGGGCAAATACCCCTAGGCGTTTTTTTAAATTTTTGTGATACAGGCTTTTAGAATGGTTTTATTTGAGTTTTTTGGCTGTGTTATAGCAAATGTATTACTGTGTTAGTGTGCCGTGTTTACCACGTCTGGGCATGAGTCATCACAATGGAATGCAGGGCATCAACCAATAGGCATGCAGCTTTCCTCTATACTTCTTGCTGATTGGCTGTTGGGATTTAACTTGATTAACACCCGCACAGAGCATTTCCACCTGCACAGAGCATTTCTTGCTGATTGGCTGTTGGGATTTAACTTGATTAACACCTGCACAGAGCATTTCCATACTGACAGTATGTCTTTATTCAAGTGTTTTGGTAGGTATTTCAAGCTTTTCTGCTCCAGCATTGGAATGCGGGGCATGAACGTTTTTTATTTTATTTTTAAAATCAACAGTTTGCATTATGCAATTAAAAATCCTAACCAATAAAGTAGGGAATAGCTATCCAACTGTTGTTTTAGTTGTATGTTACTTCATATTATAGTTATATCAATGTAATTCATTGTTTTCCCTTGTGTTTCTCATTCTTTCCCTGCCATGTGGTAAAATGTGGTGAACCCATCGCTGTATTTGCTCCAAAGCAAATATTGGCCTTTCTAGTTTTTTTTATATTAGCTACTGTAACAAACGTTCTTTCTGTGTGGGTAGGATTTGGGCTACAATTACGATTACAGTTACGATTACGGTTACAGTTACAAATCCTTAGACTCACTCTAAGGAACAAGTTACTAGACTCTCACTCTAAGTCACGCCAAAGCCAGGTCGATTTATATTTGATGTGACTTTATTGACTAACTGCGGTATCAGATACAAAGCAATGCAACATGTAATAGAACTACAGATACAAAGTACTAAAGTGAGCAAGAACAACGAAAGCAAATACCCGTACAGCAGATGGGAAGCTTGGAAACTACTTATAATAATAACTAAACTACTAACCTAACCGGTGCGGGAACAGACGTCGGGAAACAGAGAACAGCAGAGCGCGATTTCGGGCGCGTCCCGCTATTAAATAGTACACGCGGAAGGCGGGGCGACATCTGCATGGCGGAGGCGTGGTCAGGCTTGGGCCAATGACGCGTCTGGGTCACGTGCTATAACTACGTGGTCCTAGACCGTCTGAACGCAGTAATTGGCCTGTTACACTACGCTTACAGCTACATGTACCATGCTGTATGCATCTGTCCCTTTGGACAGTTGGTTATTATTTTGACATGTATGTTAAAGCCAGTTATGTTGAAAATTAATCTCATCAGAAACATTTCATTTTCCAGCGAATTGGGACGGTTACCATGACAACGAGACTGGTATTTTCGGGTACACGTGGACAGTGGGGACGTATCATTGCCTGGATGACGTCCATCCGCACAAGGACCCACACTCACATCTGTACGGGGAGAACGAGTGGACACATCAGGGGCTAGCATACCCTCTGGACCTGGAGGGTGAGTATGAGTGGGTAGAAAAAAACCTAAGTGGGGTTATGTGGGGTCGCGTGGCGTAATGGTAGAGTGTTTGACTCGGAACCAAGAGGTCCCGGGTTCGAGTCCTGACATGCCACCGATCTTGTGCCCTTGGGAAAGGCACTTCACACGACTTTCCTCACTTCGCTCGGGTGAAAATGAGTATTGTATTGTTCCCTGTGTTGGTGGCGGCATCGATATACGTTGAAAAAAAATTGAGCGTGTCCCCCACCACATCTTGTGATTAAATGTTGGGATATAAAGAAAAAAAACAAGACCACATAGAGACCAGTATAAGAAACAGTACAAGGGAAACCGTCATTGTATTTTATTTTCCCTCATATTCAAGCAATTTTAGTAGTTTGGTACAATACATTTTCAAACCTACTATTAATTTTATGTTGACTATCATAATGTAATACCATTGTAAAAGAAGTATATAACACTACGATTCTAGCCAATGCAGTGAAGTATCTAAATTATTGAGTGATTCATTCGCGCAATGAGAGGTTGCCATTTTATTCTTAAAGATGGTTACTACCACGTGTCCGTGCGTGCCTTGAACAAGGTAGAATTCGGAGGCCCCCTAGCGACCACCGTGTGTCATAGCAGCCCCTACGTCATCGACACTACGCCTCCGTACGTCAATCACGTCAGGCTCATCAGCTACGACGAGAACACCTACGAACTCATTGTTGAGTACAACGTCAGGTAAAGACAATATAACGACTATATTTAGTAGGCATCTAGACATTTAATTAATTACAAATATTCAATGGATCTTTAATTGCATGTTCATCCCATGGGGCTAAATGCATACATCATAGTGTGATGTTACATTTACATCATGCTGCGTAACACGATACATAGCATACAAGGAAAATCAATCTATACCTTTCAAGGCACTGGGGGAAGCTGAGAGGCCAACAAAATTCAAAAGTGGCGACCAGGTGAGCCTCATGCAGGAATGGTCGCTAGTACAGGTTTGGTTGTACTAGTTTGTTTTATCGTTTATTAGACCGATCTCCATTAGTTTGTACAGTTGCCATTCATACTATTCTTCCTGGAGTCGTTAACTACATACTACTATCATAACAACAAGGTAAGGCTTAACTACACACTACATAACCACAGGTTAACAACAGGTTGGTTGTACCAGTTTCTGCACTATGTAAATTCCTAATGTAATAGAATAGTTTCATTATTGGCAAATCATCCAGAAGCTTACCGAACGAATGTAAATTCGGTGAGTCTGACTCTTTCAAAAGTTTAAACTCGTGTTTGCTATCATTAATTTCAGTGACCCTCTGTCCAACATCCGGGAGGTTGACATCGGGCTGGGGAAGAGCGCCAGGGACGTGTTCATCAAGGACTGGCATCGCCATGACAACCTGACCCACGTGACCATGTACTTCCGCATTCCAGACGGCATTCCAACATGGGTCAAAGTTAGAGCCATCAACAACGGTAAGATTTGACCCTACAATGATTACGTTGGACACTTTGTAATACTTGGTAAATAAAGACGAGGGCGAAGTTTTGTAGCCTTTTTTTCAGTGGATCTTCTTTTTTGTACATCCGTTACACAGTATCAAACGTTATCTCTTAACGTCATTAGACGGAGGGGTAGTATGATACGCCCCATGAACTGTGATGTTCATTTCCTTTATAGCTATGCAAGTTCCAGTTGGTCTGGCATTTGTACAAACCATAAAAAGGCAGCACGGTACAAACATAGGACTGAATTCGAAGGCAAATCTTAAAGGCAAAGGACTAGGAATTTAGGCAGGGGACCAGAACAACCAGGAAATGCTGCCAGCATGCTGAATTTGGTATTTTATGAATAGATAGAGACTCAAACAAATAAACGAACAAAATTCAAGGAGGTCAGGGTGCTGCTATTAGAAAACCACATAGGAGTTCTATTCATTTACATCACCTTTTTACCTTGTCTGCCCAGTGGACCTGAGAACTGCCAGCCACGCCGCCAGAGTTGTTTTATACTACAAGTTATTCTTGTTTTAATTGTTATTTGACAACGTTTTCTACCTTTTCTGTTTAGTCGACCTGAGGACAGCCGCTCATGCCCCCAGACCGCTGATCGTGGACACGACGCCGCCCGTCCCGGGTACCGTGCATGACGGGGAGGCGTACAGCAGGGACCGGGCTTTCCAGGCTGACGGCACCCGGGTCTGCGCCAGCTGGAAGGATTTCCATGACGAGGAGAGTGGAATTGGTAAGTTTTGCTAATAATAATAGTTTGGTTAAATAACGCGTGAATAGCTGCCTGCCAAACTTCCGCCGGCCCCATAGACGTTATGACCCTCATAGTCCCGTAGATCGTAGTTTGCTTTACACAGACTAAATTGTACGTAAAGTTTACGTTACAAAAGCTGTATATAGTCGTTTATCTGCTAGATCTAAGTACTAGTATTGAAGAGGAAAGAATATATTGTCCAATAATAAGATGTGGATTGGTTTTTTTTTACCTGGAAATAGATGACATATACCAAACATGTATATCATGTACATATCGAGATAAACATTTATTGAAGGTCGCTGAATGTATGAAATATCATATGAGCTTTTATGTTTAATCTGATACTTTTCGATTTCTTTGATCGCATAGACCAGTTTGATGCGATTGCTTCCTCCAATAATTCCAGGTTTTTACTTGTGGGGAGTGGGAACGGCAACAGATGTAGACGACATGGTGCAGTTTCATGAGCTCCCCCACACCCAACACGCGGCCTGTGCCGAGCTGAACCAGACCCTCCAGCACGGCGTGACGTACTACAGCACACTGGTCGCCTTCAACTTGGGACATGCCATGAAGAACGTGTCTGTTTCCAGCGATGGAGGTAAGGGGGCCCTTTCAATGTATTGGATATGCAATTTGGGGAGCAAACTAATAGTTCTCAGCTTGCAAGTTCATCCGTGTTGGTAGAATCCATCATGAAAACAGTTTCAAAACTGTAATTTCCATACGAAATAAATTGGCCATGAGGTCACTCCATGAAAATTACAAACACGTAAGCCATTGGTTCAAATGCTGCAGATAGCTTATGACGTCTTCCGTCTCTATTGAGGGGTGGGCCAGGTCCCTGAACAATATAGCTTCTTTTGGTCTTCTGCCAAAGAATCTCGATTCTGGTAATCTCCAAGAAGGTCATATGGTGGCAAGGCAGTGTCCATTGGCCAGAGGAGTGTCCATTAGCCACCATGGTAGGCCGTACAAACTCCTCTGGCTAACGGATACTGTCTTGGCACCGAAAGGGATCTGCTTGGAGATTAGATTCTTTGTGTCCTTCATGAGCAAATTTCGTTATTTTAATTTCAGTGATGTACGACGCCACCCCGCCGGAGGAGGGTTGGGTAAAGGACGGCCTTGATCCTAACCATGACGTCACGTACTCGTCTGAGACCGCGACCGTCAGCGCGCTCTGGGATGACTTCCGGGATCCAGAGTCCGACATTTCTGACTATGAAGTTACAGTGTGGAGAAAACATTCTAACAATGGCATGTATATTTCATAACTTCTTTGCCTATATTAATAAAAAAGGTAAAACAGATTCATCTACTAAGTCCATATGACCAATCTGTTAAACAAGCAGTACCAGTAATAGTAAAACCTTCGCACCGTCATAGATCGTTGAGATCTGATTGACACAATATTGTCAAGCAATTTGAAGTCTTAATCAGGTCACAGACCCTTGACGTTTTTGCCACGCGGTGGCGTAGTTACTTCTGCATTCGTTGCGTTTCGCTGCGGTGTGATGCGTGGCACGAGAAACATCCCCAAATGGTATACATACACATGGCATTATGTAGATGGTACTGTATGTGCAACCCGTATATATATATAT